AATCACATAAAGATTGCAATGAAGTAAGTGTACTCTAGACAATTTATCTTTCATTGACTACAAAATGCACAGTGAAGAAATAATTATGTTCAGAGTATACTTATGAAGAAGCATGTGTAATTACGATTGATGGGATAGACTGTTATTGGAATGCAACTGTTTGTATCAATATTTGTGAAGCTTCATACATTCATAATATTTCCAATTATAATTCTTCTTGTGCTCGCTGGCGTTCATATTGTATGTCATCATCTGGGCAGGGATGCCAACTCTTAAATTGCTCAGATTTAACAACAAGTAGTAACTGTAATATCTTTTCTGTCAAATGCATTTGGGATGGATCAACTTGCATAACTATTGGTCCTTGTATCAATTATTCAAGTAGCCTTTTGTGTGATACTAATAGTAATTCTTAAGGAATTCCTTGCTTTTGGAATAGTACATAATGCACAGAAAAGACTTGTTCAAATAAAACTACATCCTCATTATCAAAAACAGACTGCAATAACTGGCTTGCTAATTGTTAATGGGATAGTAACAATCATTTATGTGTAGAAGATTGCACTTAAGCAGATATCACTTATAATACCCATAAATAATGCGAATCGTCTTCTTTAAATAAAAGTTGTACTGTCAAACTTGATCTAATTCAATGTGTAGACCTTCCAATTTCTTGTTCTTTAGCAAAATAAACTCAATGTTTACATAGATAAATTTGGAAATGAATGTTACTTTTAAACATCATTAAATCAGTGTGTTAATTTAACCTGTTTAAATTTAGAAGACACTTATACTACTTATGAAAAATGTAATTAGCGAATAAATTCTTGCACAGTTAATATAAATTTAAAGGGATGCCAATATTTGGATGACTGTAGTAATTATTTAATCCAAGAACAATGTGTAATTGATAAAAATAACGTAGAATGTGATTGGTTAATCAATCTAAATAGTTGTAATATCAAGAAATGTTCTACTGCATAATTGATTTTATATACAGCACATAGTTGTCAATAGTATTTTGGTGATTCATGCACTGTAAATGCTTATTTAGATGGATGCGAAATTGGTTAATCATTATGTATGAATTACACTTAATAATAATGTAAGAGTGATGGGCAAAAAAACTTAGGTGGAGTCTATTGTTTTTGGCATGAGGAGAAAAGTACTTGTTTAGAAAGGATATGTGAAAATGGACCTGCACTTGCCTAATCTCATTTAGAGTGTATAGGATTCCTTTCTACTTGTTAGAAAGGAGGGTTGCCGTATAAAAGGGTGCTTTGATTACTAATACGCTATAGATTCAGCGTGTGCTTAAATTTTTGAAGATAAGAGATGTGTTACTAATGGATATTAATGTATTTTAAGAAATGCTTGTGAAGATGTTAATATTATTGATGGCTGTACCTTTGATATCAATCTAAATCCTTGTGTTTGGATAGATGACAAATGTTATACCAAAACTTGTTAAACTGCATCAGTTTCACTTACTAATTATTTGGAATGCAATTCATATTTACCCTATTGCACAGTTAAGTTAGAGGGAGGTTGCACAAAAAAGTAAAATTGTTCAGATTACACAATCAAAGAGGCTTGCTATTCAGATAGTGAAAATGGAGAATGTATTTGGGATGAATATCTAGGTGAATGCTTTTCCAATTCATGTATTGATTTCTGTGGAGATGGCATTATATCTAGCATGGAAGAATAATGTGATGATGGCAATTATTTACCTTATGATGGTTGTTATAAATGCCAAATACAATGTCAATAAGGATGTAATCTTTGCAATGGTCCAATATGTTAAGATTGTTATAAGAAAGGGTGGCTATTATCAGATGGAGTTTGCATTTCTATATGTGGAGATGGGTACCCAGTAGGAAAGGAATTTTGTGATGATGGAAATAATATTGAATTTGATGGATGCTATTAATGTTCCTACTCATGTCATAAGTAATGTATTAACTGCTTCTAAGGGTTGTGTGTAGAATGTTAAAAAGGATACTTAGAAAATGGATCATAATGTCATAATGTTTGTGGGGACGGATATTTAATTTAAGAGTTAGAAGCATGTGATGATGGAAATCTACAAAATAATGATGGGTGTAGTGATACTTGTAAAGTTGAAATGAATTGGAAATGCCGTTAAGAAAATAACATTAGTGTTTGCAATTACATTATTCTACCTAAGATTATACTTAATAAACTTTCCAAATCAAACTCAGATTATCAAGAATACAAATTATCATTTTCAGAATAGGTACGATTGAATGTTACAGAAATTAGTGAAGAACAATTTCTACAAATGATTATAGTTGTTCTTGAAAAAGCTAAAGATAGCTAATATGAAGTTGAAGTTAGACCAATGATCTCTATTTCTAAAGAATTGAATGACGTAGCTTATAAAATAATAGTTTATTTTAAAACAAAAATCGAGAATCCTGTTTTGAAGGTAACAATTAAGTGTGGTAATATTGTAAATCTGCAAGATAACACTTTATACTCCAATGAAGTAATATTATCATTAAAATCTCCAAACAAATTGTCAAAGGATCAATAATTTATTATTGAAAAAACTGCCCTTATAGGAAGAATTGTTATGTATATCATCTTGATTGTAAGTGTAATTGCTTTTTTGTTTGGCAATTTAGAAATTTTGTGGAATCTTCTTGATATGCTCCAATAATTATCATTTATGAAATACCACAATGTAATATTCCCAGAAAACTTAATAATCTATTTTGAAATATTTACAATCGGCTCATTTACTCCAATAATCCAATTTTTGTAAACAGATTAACTTTTCCAAAATATTTTTGACTTCGAAGTTCCAATTATACCTGCCAAATGGAAATTCGAATACTATTCTATTAATTGTTACTTTTTGTTAAACTTATAAACTCTACTCTCTGTCATTGCAGTAGGATGTGCTTATTTTGTACTTTCTTATTTGTTTTATTAATTTCTTCCACATATTAAGTATGAGAATTGGCCAGCCATATTTTATAATTATTATCCAGAATTCTTCTTTAAAGTGACCAAAATAATTTTTTCCTTTTAGAAATTGGCGAGAAAATAATATTCATATTTTATTTACTCTGGATTAATAAGAATTTATTCATCGAATTTTTATGAATTCACCTTTGCATCCCTGTTTTAGGTGGTTAATTCCAATTTAGATTCACTTTTAATATAATTATTTTCTTATAACATTTAGTTGCCTTAATTTGTAATTTTTTTACTTTAAGCTTCCTTTTTTTTAATTTTTAAGTAATAAAAATGGGAGTAAACCAAATCTTTTTTCATCTCTTAGTGGAAGGGATTTTTAAA